GCCGTTTCGGAAAAAGCGACGTCGGCCACCGAACCGAGCTGACCAAGCGAATTCCATTAACGCCAAACGCCTATTAAGAACTTTAAGACCATAGTTTATCTTAAAATACACCACCTGACAGCGGCCACCTCCACATCTTCCGATGAACTGGGCAATGCTCGTCTTACGACTAGGCTAGGCCCCCACAACATACCTACCTTAGAGAGACGCGGCAGTTAACATAGTTTGACCCCGATATTACTTGCGCGCGGCTGGGTGGCCTTCCCTTGCCAATGGGTGTCAATTTGGAAGACGGACTCCAATCCAGGGCCCAAGGCCAGCAGGCAGGCTCCGCAAGGGATTGTCGCAGAATGATCGGCGAGTCCTTTGATCACTCAACCTCAATAATGATAATTAATAGGTATCTCGAACTCAGATTTCTTGAGTATAAGATGGAACCTCTCGACCCTCTGCCGCGATCCCTTTTTGCTATCTTCATTGCACTCTCTCACCTCACAATCCAGTCGCTTCTCTACAGTCTCTACATAAAGCAACATCGCCGCTACATCTCTTTCATTCTGATACCCAAACCTTTCCCAACCGGTCAATTCGCATCTTTAACAACTCGCCAAAATGCACGCTCGCACTGTTCTCATTCTCGCCCTTGGCGCTGTCGCCTCCGCCCAAAAGTTCGAGGACTTCCCCACCAGCTTGACCTGCAAGACTGGCGCTGGCGGCAAAGGAACTGCCACCATTTCAAAGATCGAAGCTCAGGATGCCGTGAAAGGCCCCAACGGAACCAAGCAGGACGACTCTGCCGCCAACGTTGCTTCTGGCAAGTGCGTCAACCTCTCTGGCGTGCCCTTCTACGGAGTAAGTAACAGCATGGGATATCTTCCGCTTGTTTACCTCTGGAACTTCCGTGTGCTAATCAGAGTCTTTCCACAGGGCGGTGTTTCTGGCAAGGGAAGCATTTACTTCGCTTACGATAAGGCGAAGGATACATACTACTTCTGCTCGGCGCAAGGAGCTGTTGACGAGTCAGGATGGCCCTCTGCTTGCACGGAGAACTAAACAATCTATTGCTAAAACTGAATACCAAGCGAGCATTTGCCATTAAACAGCTTTTTAAAGCCCATTTCACGTGCATTTTGAATGTGAAGTGATAGTTACTTTGCAGTCCCTTGTGAGCACATTGTCTTATTGATGGGAACCTTGCCTGGAGTGGTGTAAAGCCTGACATGCAAGCGAACTCGGAACATGTTGTTCGACGACTCGGAGTGAGTAGTGCAATTTGCAAGAACGAACAATCTAAGTCAACAAAATGCGAGCGAGGGTGGGCCAGACCGGCCGAATGCAAGGACACCGGATGGGGCCAACCGGCGTCGCCGAGGATCAACGCCGGCCTCCGATGAAGTCCGACTTGTGGTAGGCCCGAGACGGCGACGATTCGGGAGCGGGTTATTGAAGAATGCAAGTTAGTAATCGAGTTTCTCACTTATCAATCATGGGCTGAATGACCGACAAAGCTCGAAAGATGGACGTTTATTTCTCGCCGCACCGTTCCGGAGGATCAGTATAAAAAGAGACGTTTTCTCCTTGACTGGTTTGTCTCCTGAAATTGTGTTGCAGGTCTTCGGGAGGCAATAACTCACCATTATACGTCTTTAGTTTATGTCTTAACGTACACCGAAATCGTACGACGGGCTTTCATTCAAACCTACCAAGCCGATTCAGAACAAGATGTCACGCGCGATTCTCATCACTGGCGCCACAGGCAAGCAAGGAGGTGCCGTTATCAGCGCTTTGCTGGCCAGACAGCCATCGGACTTTCTACTTCTTGCAGTAACGAGAAATTCTCAGTCAGCATCTGCTAGACGCCTTGCAGCAAAGTCCTCGAACATCAAAATCGTTGAGGGAGATCTTGATGCGACCCCGGCGTTGATTGCCTCCGCAAAGGCCGCGGCCGGAGCCGTTCCTCTATGGGGCGTGTATTCCGTTCAAGCAATGGGCGACCAGAAATCTGACAGCGAGACAAAGCAAGGCAAGGCATTGGTGGACGAATCCATCAAGGCAGGGGTGCGGCATTTTGTCTACAGCAGCGTCGAGCGAGGTGGCGACGAACGGTCTTGGAGCAACCCTACACCAGTACCGCACTTCATCACGAAGCATCAAATAGAACACCATCTCCGCGACAGCGCAGCCAATAGCGAAACCGACATGGGCTGGACTATCTTGCGCCCAGTCATCTTCATGGACAACCTCATGCCAGGCTTTTTCGGCAAGGTATTCTTCACTATGCTCCGCGACACCATGAAGGAGAAGCCTCTACAGTGGATCGCGACCAAGGACATTGGCTTCTTCGCGGCCGAGGCATTCCATAATCCGGCTACCTGGAACAAGAAGGCGGTCGGTCTGGCGGGTGATGAGCTCACCTTCTCGCAGATGAATCAGACTTTCGAGAAGGCGACTGGTGCACCAGTCGGGACCACGTTCGGATTGCTTGGCAAAGCTTTGAAGCATGGGGTCTCTGAGATTGGTGTCATGGTCAACTGGTTCAGGGAAGAGGGCTACAAGGCGAATGTGTCACAGGTCAAGAAAGTCCATCCAGACATTCTGACAATGGGAGCTTGGTTGAAGGAGAGTGCTTTTGTAAAGAAGTAAAAATAATCAGGCACTGAGGACTCAGGAGGGAATTCTACTGTATGGCAATTGTAGTAACAGCACTTTGACTTATGATAGAATCAATGTGGACGCAAGATACTCTTCTCTCAACGCAGCGGCCGATGAGTATTTGCATGCGATGTATCATACTGTTAAGTAGTTTGCAGAGGAATGCAAAGCCCGAATGCAACATACCAGAACATTTATTGCATCAACAACTAAAGTTGAATACCCACAGAACCACCAGGTCCGGTGACGTCACCTGCACACATCAGGCAACTCAATCGAGTCCAGGACGATCTGCCGGCGAGATGGGCCGATTGCAGCTAATGCGAGCTTGCCAGCCCTTGCCTCAACCTTGCATACATATATCCGACCCGCGCGGGAGTGTAACTCTAGGATCCTCAATCATACCTCACCTTTTCCTTTATGGGGTATTCCATAAGTCGGCCAACGGAAAGAATTACAGATCTCAAAGAGCCGGTAGCAACTCCACGCACACTAAAAACGAGTTACGACGCCCAGCTAGTTGCTGCCCATCTCAATACCTGAAGAGAACCAACTTTATCCTTCTTCAATGATTAGTAACACTGTACATAAAAGATGCGGCTGTTCCCCTGTAGTTGGGACTCTGGTTCTCCAAAAGTGCATTGCAACATCACGCCCGCACCGGACTAGCCGTAGAAGGCATCCTGCAGTTTCCAATACAACCTTATAACTTAACCTTCCAACTCCGGACTTACCGACAAACAACAAAACCGGTTTACAGAAGGAGTTATGCTGATCAACGGGTTGGTTGTCAATTCTTACAAATAAACTTCAGGGGGTTCTCGGGGTGCGCTTCTGAATCGAGTCATGTGGTCTGACTTAAATATGGACAGTTGGACGGTTCACTGCGGGGATAACGTCGCATGTATACAGCTTTACAGTAATTATACAGTACATCGGAAGACTTAAGCCGACTGCCCTCACTTAGACAACTCAATTCCTGTGGACCGGTCGTCATCGGCCACGGGCTCTCGTGCGATTGGCCTGCAATAGTGGCGCATAGTGGTAAACGAGTGCGAAAGCAGAATATCGGACATCGTAAGATCATGGTTGTCTACAGCTAGATGCTACCTTCTAGACTCGATGGGAATGCAACATGGTAAGTAGGATATAAGCCGCCTAGTCCCCCGGCCTGCAATGCATTAGTTCCTAGTAGTTCATCCCATCTTGACTCTCCAGTTCACTAGCACAGTATCGTCATCTTCGTTCACACATTCTTTCTTGGTTAACAAATCTCAACAATCGCTACCAAAATGAAGTTCGCTGCTGTCCTCCTCCCTCTCATCCCCGCCGCTCTGGCCGGAGAGTGCATTCGCGACGGCGGCTGCCCCGGCTGTGGTCAGGTTGCTAGCGTCAGCTACGTCCAGGACGGAAGCACCTCCACCGCCACGGCTGCCTCCTACGGCTCCGTCACCTTCTCCGAAACCACCATCACTGTCAAGAACACATCCAAAAAGTGGCTGATGTTCTGCAACTACGGCTCGGCCTGCTTCCCCGTCGAGGCCGGCGACACTTGCACCTCCACCCGCCAGTCTTCCGACTCCACCGCTCTCGGACTTCAAGTGTGGTCCCAGTAGAAAGGTAAGTTCTGACCGGCTAAACGTTTCTAGCAGTGAATGCCAACTGACACGGATGCTCAGGGATCTCCAAAACGTGCGTCTGGGATCGGCGTGGCAGCACGGCGCTGAAAGCTTGGATAAACGCGCGGGTGTGACAAACTGACAGGAGTCAGGCGGGGTTGACGGTTCCACGTCCCGCAGTCGTCCCAATTCTGTGCACAGCGCCTGCGATGGCGAGTACAAATACGTGGATTGGGCACTTAGTGACAGCCCCGAAGGCAATTGCTGCCAATGCACTTGGTCTGCAAAATGACTGAGGGTATTCAGAGAACCAAAGACCATCGAACAGCATTTGCATTTTTCACGATAGACCAAATGATACCTTGTGTCGTGCTGTGTGCATTGTGATATTTATAGACCATGGCCATTCTCGCCGACAGGGTTAATGCTCGTTAAGCTACCCCTTTCCCCTGTCGCGCGATCGGCACCCCTGAGAGGATCTACTTAAGGAGTGACACTATGACCCGGCCATGTGTTGAAGCTAGACAAGGACACCGAATATGTAGATCAAGTATGTACATGTAAAGGAATTGTAGAAGAAAATGTTGCCACAGCTAGGTGACGTTGTCAAAGAAATTGGATTCAGCAAAAATCATGAACCCTCGTCGTTGGCGTCTGCCCGTTATCGTCGCATCCTCAAGACTGCCTGCTCTCGATTCACATATCTCGTTCGTCGTTCTCATATTCGTCTCATGATAGATCTTCAACGTTGAGAAGAACGCTCTGCTTCAAAGGAACAAAGCCGTCTCTTCCGAGTTGCCTCAACAGCTCAACCGCCCGCGATTGGGGTTGCGAAACAACGGAAAGCTCACGGTAATGGTGGAAGTTATCCACGAAATTCTTCTCCGGGAAGTGCGTGCGTAAAATATCAAGCACGGTATCAAAGTTGAAGGGTTCAGCCCAAGCAAAGATTCTCTCACTGCGAACGTTGGGGAGCACTGCAGCAGCCACGTGAAGCCGAGCGTTGTCTTCCACGTCGACAAAATACTCTGCAATCTTTATTAGCTTCTCGAATCAGCAAGGAATGAACATTTTCCCTTGCACTTACGTGGTGGAATGCTTGCTAGACGGTCCACGTGGGTTCCGTTCCATAGACTCTCGATAAAGGATGAGGTTGAAGAATGGCCTTGATTGGCCGCATCTAGAGCTCTTCCAAAGTTGGTTCCTGGAAGCACTAACGGGTAATCAGCCTCATTGCACAATCCAAGTAACGATAAAACTGCAGGTTGCATACCGCTGCTGACTATCAAGTCATAACGACGCCGAATATTCTCGTGATAAAACTTCCACACTGCCATCTCAGCTTCCACCTTACTTGCGGCATATATATGCCACGCTCGCTGGGGGTGGCACGGAGCCTCCCTCCATGCTATTTCCACCGACTCAGTGTTCCAACAGTCGGAATTCACCTCAATTCCCTTCTTCTCAGGCTGAGGGAGGGCTGCAGCAACGGAAGAGCTGGTGAAGATGAACCGCTTCACACTCGCCGCTTTGTTGGCAGCCTTGAGAGCATTCAGAGCCACAGTGATACTGCGAGGAATGACGCTCTCGGGGTTTGGGCTGAAAGACACCGGAGAAGCGGCATGGATCACAGCGGAGACGCCTGTAAGGGTTTTAGCCTCTTTAGTGTTTAGGAAAGAGCAACAAATTCACCTTCAATCGCAGCGTCAAAAGCGCACTCCTTCTCCATGTCCGGCAATGAAACCAACATGAAGTCGCCCTTTTGTCTCTGTCGCTTTAGCGCCTCTGGCAGCCAGGCGCATTTCGAAACGTCGCGAACAGTTCCGCGGACGTTGAACCCTAGCTGCAGCAGTTCATTGCAGACGTGGGAGCCGATGAAGCCGTTCGCACCCGTCACCAGGACCGTTGAGCCCTTTGGAATGGCGAATTTTCGTTCCGGAGTCATATTCAAAAAACTTAAGACTGGCGATATTGACTGTCCGTTACAAGGATGACGAGTGCAGAACCACCGTGGCTGTTCGCAGAGCCAAGAAATGTGGCTATTTGTCGAGATGGCTGCGTTGCTGCGCGCGGTGACCGCCAGGCCTCTCCTCAAGAACGAGAACGAAAGCAAGCGGATGATTTTATAAACTCTACTGACTTTCCGAGGCTTTCTGAATGCATCTTAGGCTCAAAAAATCTACCCCGCCTTTTTATTTAGATAGAGGTTTCGTGTCTGTCACTTGTGACATTTTTCTGGTGGTTTGAAACAGCCTTTTTGCCAGAGACCGTTGTCGTTGAACGCCAAGTGGGACTCCTGGAAAAGGCCCAAGATGACAGAACGGGACCCAGAGCCGATGCACCCCCACGACATATCGCGAAAGAAGAGCTACTTGCATCGATGAAATAATGCGACGCCAACCGTTCTTTGCGGATGAGTCGGCATCAGAGAAGTTTTTCCATTCCTTTAAAAGTCTCGTCCGAACATTGAGGATTCGTATGGCTGACAATTGGTTCCAAGGGGTTGTAGTTACGCAAGATTTGACATGGGACTCAAACAGCACCAGAAACATGAATCTTCCGATTGTCTACCAGAAACGATACGCGCTGCAAAGTGCGGTCTTTCTCAGTTGCTGGATCCAAGTTTGAGGCCTTTTCTTCTTTTTCTCCCACCAAAAATCACTTGGACAACTTGATATGCCATGTTGCGGCGATCCCCGCCCCCACTTTGTGTCAATTACGTGCAACTTACTTTGAAATGACCATATGTTGCAGGGATCTCAAAACCGCCAGTCTGCTTTTATTCAAGCTATGGATGTTCAAACAAGTTGCCATTGTGTGGCGCTAAAAGGGAGCGAGAATTTGTCATATCTTACTCGAAGTCCTCCAATTGGGCATTCATATCATCCTTCTCGAAGATGTCAATTATATGAGTGCGCTGTTAAAGTGCCTGAAAGAGGATAAGCTCCTGAACAACAGAAAAATAAATTGTCTTCATAGAGTAAACTCGCAGCTTCCGAACCGACCTGAAAACTTCCAGAGAGATCAGGGAATATATCTCCAACAGAGCTGAGTAACAAGTCTTTCCTATTTACATCGCGGGTCCCTTTTAGATCACAGCTTTTATTGAACTATTTCTTGTTCTGACTCTGAAGATCTCTTGATGTTACCTACCTACCTCAATTCGTATCCTCGATTTCTAGTCTAAGTCTGTACATGAATTTGCCACGCTACCTGTTAATACTTCGCAAATTATAGACCCACGCAAAGGGAACCCTGAAATAATACTCTTCGCAAACCCATCAATTAATCCCACGGCATCATCTCGATGACCCTGCCTACCCTAAGACGGATATATAAAGGCCGATGTCCCACAAAATGTGATGTCGCTCGAAGGCGAATGTGAGCTTCTTTTGCACTTGTGCATCACGTAGCAGACTTGGAGTCAGGAACAAGATCATAGGCGCCAAGACACCCAGACCAAGGGTAGACACTCACACTATGATGGATTGGAATCGTTTCACAAGTTGGTCAAAGGCGGCGTGTCGTATCTGATGGTCCAAACGCAACGTCTCTAAATACTGCAATGCTACGATTCCGGAATAGTGACGGCATTCGCCGAGATGAATAATTATCACGTCCGGAGCGCTGTTCGGGTAAGGGGCAAAACTTCGGTCCCGGACGGGGCCACTCCTCGCTCTCGTATCCCAGCCCGATTGGTCCAATGCATCGGGAGATACGGGGTTCCTAGCGGCTCGCACTTGATCGGAGACCGGCCGTACGCAAACGTCGAATGACATTCCACCTTCAAATAGGCAATCCCCCTTACGTAGAGGAACCTAATCTTGCGCATTACTCATGTGGTAGAGTAATTATGTAAGCAGTGTAACCTTTTGTTGGACTCTTGCAAATCTGCCATGATGAACATGATGGCGATGTTTTACCGGTTGAGAACCGCCGCTTTGCTTTGGCGCTGTATCTCTCAAAGAACGCTAAAAGATGCAATCGCAGAATGGTAATAACGCTCCCGCCAACCCATTTTCATGTACGCAATGCCGAACACGGAAACTCAGGTGCGATCGCGCCCGCCCGCGATGTGGACGGTGTGCGAGACTTGGGGATAAATGCGACTATCCACAGTCGAGAAGAGCGAATGTCGGCAGGAGAAAACGAGTTCACGAGCTAGAGGCCAAATTAGGTACGTTGATCATGTTTTGACTACCCACGATAATAAGCGGATGGTTGTAATATTGTTCATGGAAACCAGCCAGTCTTATACTTACAATCTTATAATTAGAGCAACTTGAGCGGCTGGCAAAGACTGGAGACAACCCTTCTGCCCCCGAAAATGACGAAACTCCGTCTCAACAAATCGCCAGCGATGGTGTCGACTTTTTGACGGGGAATATGCCGTATGCGACAGCATCAACAAGCGTTACCCCAGATCAAGATCAAACCCCACCAGACGACAAGACATCTTTCACAGAAGTACTCTCCCTCGGGCTTTTTGAGCCATCACCGTCTCAAGATGTTATTGAATTTCTGTAAGCACTATCATTACTGCCAATTGGGTTGAAGTTGTTGAAGTCATTACGTTTCTAAAGCTACCTGCAGAACAAGAACCTACTTTGACAAATGGCAATACGCTGCGCCAATGCTGCACCCGACCCGGTATACCATGTCATTGTACTTGCCGCCTCACATGCAGCCTCCAATGTGCCTACAATACATTGTCATGGCCTCCGGTGCAGAAGTGACCAAGACTCACCGACAGCTCGCCATGCCGTTCTACCATCGCGCAAAGGCATATGTAGAAGCCGATGAAATGAGAGTGAGTTGTACGGCCCTCTTTATTAAGAAATCGGCGAATTTTACCTTGACCGTGTTGCTGACAAAACTCAAAATAAAGGGTGATGGACAGTTCTTTGCGACTGTAGCACATGCTCAGTGCTGGACACTGATTGCCAACTTTGAAGCCCAACAACTCTACTTTGCGCAGGCTTCAATGAGTCTTTGCCGAGCCATCAGGATCGGTCAGATGCTCGGTCTACACCGGGTTGATGGAGAAGGCGTCGACGCGATGTCTCTGCTTCCGCCTCCGCGGGACTGGTCCGAGGCAGAGGAGAGACGGAGGACGTGGTGGGTGATTTACTGCTCGGATCGGTTGGTCAGCGGTAGCACGGGCTGGCCGGTTATGATTAACCAGCAAGATGTGAGTAAACAGCATATAGCGCCGTACCCTGGTCGGGCTATGGAAACATGATATCCAAGGTCTGGCGATTTCCTGCTCACATACCTTTTTTGCAGATTACTACACATCTCCCTGCGTCAGAAACGGCATTTGAAACAGGCGTTGAGGAGCAGACGAGCCCGCTAACGAGCATCCTTCTCCAAGAAGGTCGCGACTTCTCCGCCTTTGCAGGACGGGTCCTGGCCGCGGCATCCTTCTTCCAAGCCTTTCAGCACTCAACACGAACATTACCAGACGATGATCTTACCGACCCACGTACAAGTCGGAACTGGAAACGCCACCGTGAGATTGACAACGATCTAGTAGGTCTCCTTGCCGCTCTCCCGGACGACCTGACGCTCCCCCAAAACATCCAAAGCCGCAACGCCACCTTTGTCAATGCCATAATCCACACGTCGGTCATCTTGCTGCACAGAGCGGCTCTCGCCAGAATAGAGTCGTTCGGGCTGCCGGAGCATATGGCAAAACAGAGCCAGGCGAGGTTGATTTGCGCCGCCGAAGAGATTCTTAATGTCATCCGAATGATGCCCGATATCACGCAGACGCTCAAGAATCCCATGATGACCTTCTCCATGTACACGGCCTCTCTCGTGTTCCTCGAGAACTGGGATACGTCGGCCCAAGACTATCGGCGACAGGATAACCTCGATTTTATCCTTCGCATCATCATATTGGCTGCTAAGGCGTGGAACAACCCCGTCACGAAGTCCACAGCAGTTCAGCTTGCGGTGGATATGCGGCAGCGAGGTCTCGGATCCGAGGCAGTTGACAAGGTGTGTATTCGCAAAGCCCTTTCCCACCACCCGGAAACCCCTTACAGGACTGTACTGATTCAGATTGTGTAGGCAACTGAATTGTCACCAGGTCTTGATATGGAGCCTATCATGGCAAAAGGGTTATCTTCATCCTCCAACTTCGTGTACCAGGTAAAGACCGCGGACGATACAGCACACAACATGCCTGATTAGTAGCTGAACCGCAATTGCTTTGCTCTTGAAGGCTAGCCTATGGAAGATCATTGTTATCGTGGAAGCGTTCAATATCCTAAGAAGCCGAATGCCTGTAAGCTGCATTGCTTCAGGTGTCTCAAGGCTACGCCGTTAATTCGCATTGCGAGGGCTGGCAATACATCAGGCAGTAATACAAGACTTAAATGCTGATTTGCGCGTTGAGGTGCGGCCAAATCACTTGTAAGTTGTTAATGCCAAATTTTGTTTCTACCGTTTCGCGCAGTACGTATCGTGCTTGGCGCTTGGCATAACGGTCTCCCAAGTAGGTCAGCGGGCTTTTACCCAATGTATGTAAAACGGTCCATTTACACTACTTCCCTTCTTGATCATCTGTAAACCAACTCGCTTCAGATCATACACAAACATTCACACACACTCTCACACAAGCATACGCAAAAGTCAACCATGGAGGAATGGGCCGAACATTCCGTAGCCGCTCTCCTGGAGGGAATCCTCATTGATTACCCGGACTTCAAAATGTTCACACAAGACACCAATCGACTCTTCTGGACGCTCAACAGCCCACTGGAGAGCGCATTCCAGGTCACGCCAAACCCCTAGTACGGGCCAGGCGACTTGATGGAGCCCTACTATCGCCCTGTAGCTATCGAAGAATCTGCGAGTGGTCTAGAGCCGAGCTGGCACCCCGTATCGCAAGAGTCTCTCATGGCACCCCCAGTCACAACCATCACCGTCCGAGTCGAGGCGCTCGACGAGAGGGAACAGCTCTGGGCCGAGCTTAATCGCTACTGCGTCGTCGATATCCTGACGGACCCCGACCGGCCGCGGGCTAAAGACGTCCAGCTCGAGGTGACTACGGTAGGTACCTTTCTCACGATCCACGAGTACGTCTCTGCCGTGCACCCGTGGCTCATGGGAATGCGCGAGAGGATCCTGGACGCCTTAGGAAAGCTCAAACTCGAAGCGCCGTGGCCGCCCGAGACAAAGTTGGCCGTTCATATGTTCGGCGGGCCGATACATATCGGAGCTGAAGACGGTTGGGCTAAAAGACACAGAAAGCCGAGCCCGCCCCTAGCCGTCGAGATGACCTTGGCTGAGAAGGAGGAGGCCTCGCGGAAAGTCATGGAGAGAATGAAGGCGGGATCTGCGGCTCGAATTCGTGAGCTGGAAAGGCTCCGCCAAGAAGGGGACAATTGAAACAGACTGGGTCATTGTACGTGTACATGTGTAGTTCGTTATTTCTCACACTTTTCCCGTTTTCCTAGCCCAAGATAATTACAACATTGTGCGCGATTGTAGCACCGAAATTGAACGACTTCATGGTTTCCTTTCGTCCTTGTAGTTTGTGCGGAAGTGAGCTCTTACGGGGCTCTGTTCAATGTCGGGAGCTCGGCTTCATAGTTGAAACGGTCCGATCAGACTCATTAGCCTCCATTCTTGCCGCGCTTCCATTGCCCTGCGCCGCTCGGTACTGCTACTGCATGTTTTCATTTACTTTACGAGCAGCACGGCTGAGAGCTCCCCTGCGAAAGATATGAAGAGATTTTCCGGAATTCTCTGTTTATTGGCTTATGATGTGGGCAATTTGGATCTTGGCGTTGGTGATGTTAAGTCGAGAGCCTCGAGCCTACTTTGATTCAAGACAGTGCCATGGTTCATCCTCTTAGTCAAGCACGAACTTGACATTAGCAGCAGGTGAGTCGTGATAAAAGCATGTAACCGTGAGGCATAGCACCGATTGGGTGGCTAGCTACCTTGGCATGGAGTCACCATTAAAAACGGTGAAATCGGATGATCCGTGTGGCACAGTTTAGGCAATTTGCGCCCCATAATTTAGACATGTTCTGCCAAAGTTCCGTCCCGCCCCCCCCAAAGACCCTTCAAAGACCCTTGCCCAGTCGCTTCGACCGCCGTTGGCGATTGAAGAATATCCGCTCCGCAAAACCCGACAACAGGAGGTCAAGTGAGGCTAGATAGACGGGGCACGCAGTAGCATTGTCTCCCCACTCTAGGCTTACGCGCTGTGATGTGTCCAGTCACCCTGAGCTATGGCCGAGCTGAGATGCGCATTTTCAAAGAGAGGCTTACTTGTGTCGGCAATGCAGTCGGATCTTTAACATCGACACTAGAACTGGCACGAATAGTGACCATGAATTCATCTATCAAGCGGAGAGGCGCAGGCTCAAACCCGGTACTTATCGCCGGGGTACTTATGGACGAGAGCTGCCGGCGTCCGCCGAGATGACCGCCGACGGACCCCGCTCCTCAAGATCACCAATGAATTCGCCTAGGCCGCCGCACTCCTAGCCAAAGTCGAGACCAAACAGTCTCAAGGCCCCCAGCTACTAGTCAATATTACGCACCGCACTGCTGCCGTCTCATACGGGATGGAGTCCATCGCACACGGAGGCATTGTCCCTTAGGGTGATGATCCCTCTTACGCAGTATTCTGCAGTGTAATCGATGACGGCGCCATCAGCAACGGCGTAACTGACAATACCGTCACGATCAAGCGGGCCATCAACGACGGGCGGCGTTACGGCGAGAAACGCAACGGCTCGACGGTCAAGAACGCCATTGTCTACTTCCCTCCCACCCAGCACAATACCTCTTCCCTTAGAGACGTAGGTCATCGGCGATACCACCAGCCGCTCAGAACCGATCACCTTCAAGTCCTTCATCGGTATCGGGGTACTTTCAACAGACGAGTACACCGGCAGCAGGACCGGTCCAGACGGGCACGGCTAGCAGTGGTGTGTCAACACGGCCAATCTGTACCGCCAGACCTGCAACGTCATCATCGACGTCCGCCCAGGGCCACGCTCAGAGGAGGCGGCATACCTCCACTACCAGGTGGCCCAGGCCACCAGGCCAGATGGGACTGAGGTTGGGTGTGAAAGTCGATGACCATGACCGACGTGAAGAAAGGCTTCAAGTTTGTGCCCTGACTATCTCGGCGGCAGTATTGGGTCATCGCTGATGATGGTTGTCCTTCACAAACGTCGCTATCGTTCGTCTTTATTCAGCCGCCGTCATCCCAATCCGGTTCTGGAAGGACTGGTCTCGGTATCGAGAACATCGCCATATCGGGTGTCACCACCGCCGCCGCCGACACGAATGGCCGCTTCCTGCTGGCCGGGTTTACCAGGCTTGACGAGTGGGTACTGGTCCCCGTATACTCGAGCTCAGCCGTTGCTGGTGCGCGCTCCTTCTCATTTGCGCCGTGGTCATTAAGTGGAATATGGCTACTGATGCAAAGGGATCAGCGGCTCTCTGTTGGCTGCCACGTCCGGATCGGCGGTGCGACGGGCGCCGACCTGACACCTACTGAGAGTGCCCGGTCTTGACCTCTGGCATCCGCCCAAGCTGCAATCATGCTATCCCTGATGATGCACACTACGCCAAGCGCATCGTGATACTTCGAGAACATATGGCTGTTGGTGGCTGACCATATGATTAATGGCGCAGACCTGGAAGACGCCAATAACGCCATGGTACAGAACTTGGGTCTACTTTCTCGTGGCCTGCTTGTCGAGAGCACCGGGCTCAAATGGTTTCTACGCCACGGCATCGGAGCACGCGGTCATGTACCAATACAACTTTCACGATGCCGCGAGTGTCTTCGCCGCCATGATCCAAACAGAGCCACGGTACTACCAGCCAACCCCAAACACGTCTGCCCCTTTCGCTAGCTCCGTCGGCCTCTTCTCTGGTGACCCGGACTACTCCTGTGCCGCTGGCGACGAGTTTAGTGGTTGCGATGAATTGTGGGTCGTTGTGATGCGCGGCTGCGAGGACATCTTGATTGCTGGCGCTGGCCTGTACTCGTGGTTCTCGGCCTACGCCCCAAGATTGTATCGGCGGACAGCTGTGCCAGAAGGCACTAGTTCTTCTTAAGGGAAACAAACCATGCTAGCGTGCGATGGGAGCATCTCGTTAACGATAGGCGCCAAGTACATGGTCGTTATGGACGGCAAGGGCATTGTGGCCAAGGACAACCTCAACGTCAATGCGCACTCGTTCTAGTCGCAGATATCGCTGCTCGACGTCACTAGCGACGGCAAGCAGTATAACGATATCTTCTGGCTCGACCCGTCCATATGGGATATGGAAACAGCCTCAGTTCTCTTGCGAGCCGCCCTGCCGCGTCAAGATTCCACCATACGTAGGCGCGACTACTACCGTCAATCACCCGCTTATGACCGTTAACCAGGACGCGTGGACGAGTACAATTACGGCACGGCCTATGGCGCTATCAAAGTTGGGCTTCGAGGTAATGACGATCGGAGGCTCCAACGTGAAGAGGGACAGTGGCATCCTGAACTGCCGAGCCTTTGAGGACTTCTGGCCCGTCCCCGCTACGACTGCCGCTTAGTCCGTCGTTATTCACAACGGCCCGGATTGTAAAGAGTCAACGGCGAGTCCTAAAGCGCCTTATCCAACATAGCCTCCGTACATCGAGCCCGGCGCGCCACCGCCGTGGACTCCAACAAGGAGCCGGACGATCGCTTCAGGGCCTGAATGCGCCGGCAGGCTGCCGAGTCACCCAGTTACTACGACGTGGACATGCTGGACTGCCCGGGGAGGGGTAGGAACAATAACGACTCGGGACAGATGCCATTAGGTGACGGCACTGGCCGGGCCGTCGCCAAGACCTTAAACAACGGCATCAACTCCTTCTGCAAGTAAATTGGCTCTGACGTTGGGCGTCCAGGCCCGCGACCTGGATGACAGTGCCGCCACCGGATAGCAGCAGCTCCCGGGCGGTTACAAGAAGGAGGTCCACCAAGCCCCTTTTCTGGGCAGGAGGGAGATTAGCTTTCAGCTTCGAGTTGCTCGAACGGCCGCTCGTGGACGTTTAACTTGGACGAGTGTACGCGATACTTCAAGACACCCGTTGATAGCTGTAATTGTGGCGGGGAGAATGGCAAGCAGGGCGGGTATGGGAATAATAACTAACTGCCTTAGGTGGAAGAATGATCCGAATCGTTCACCGTACTAGCGGTTCTAGAGAAAGTCTGCCTCAGAATATCAGTATTTTCTTTGTAAAATCTTGCATATAGTCTTTGTCGCCGATTCTCTTAGGACACATCAGTTGCTCAATATTTTACGTATTTCGATGATCTCTATTTGTTTTGTTTTTCTGCCTTTACTAGATATTTACTGGGCGGGCATAGGTAATAAACAGGCCTCAAGATATTAACTTAGGGGGCGTAAAGTGGATTCGACCAGGTACCTCGAGGCACCAAACCCATGAGGACCCAAGAGACAGAGACTGAATACTTGAGAGACAGATATACCTCAGCAAGTAGCCGGGAACTCTCTCTCTTACATAACACGACACTTGACGGGGAAACACAAGCGGCAGCACACGCCAAAGTCAGCGTCGTCGTCAAGATTGCCTCAACGAACAAGACAGGAAGATCGCACTGCCACTTGAAATATGGCTTCTGATCACGGGGCAACGCCAGACAGCGAGAGTATTACACCAAGCGCGCAACTTCACAATCGGATTACGAAGATGACATCAGAAAGCGACATCGAATGGTTGGCAACCTCATCAATGTCTTACGTTACTTAATACACAGAGCTGCATGGCATGGCATGGCATGCACTGCAACTCAGCTGACACATACAGGCCGGGTGGCTAATTACCATAGCCGAGCTGGGGCCCCCCTTCTACTGCACCAGCAGGCACCCTCAAGAACATGACCAGCGTAAGGGAAACTTCTCTATCGCATCCGGAATCATTGCTAAAGGCCCCTCTCCTTCCGCCCCCTAGCGCCGTCCCCCGTCCATTAATGAATCACTAAAATCAAGTTGTCCGCAATGTCTCTAAACCACTGGTTGGATTTGTAGTTGCGGGTCGGCACGTCGGAACACCAGGTAGGGAAGTTTGGATAACACAACAAGTAGACATGGCGTTGTTACATGCCATCAAAGTCGCCGCCAAGGTCGTCCTCGTCCAGATCTCCCTCCTGTATCTCCTTGGCCATCTCACGCTCGCGTTCGCGCGCCTCCTGGGCATTCTTCAGCTCCAAGCGGTGTTGGTTCATGGGGAATCGCATGGCCTAAAACACAGTATTGTTAGAGTGTATATTGACATGGAAATATGCGGGAAAACTCACCTTGACGCTCTCATCGTGGAGAGCCAAGCATGCGCGAATTCTGTCGTGGAAAGCTTCACCGGGCTCCCGCGTGGCGTAAACATCGCCGACCTCCTTGCTCTTCATGTATCCATGCTCGCGGTCCAGAGTAGCTTCAATGACGCCATCGCGGATGGCCTTGGCGACAATGTACTCGGCCGACTCTTCGCTACCAAGGTCGAGGCGGATGCAGATGTCGCGCAGGGAAATGCGAGAGTACGACAGAGACATCATGCGGATGCCGGTCTTGATGACGTTCTGACGCAGACGGAGAATCAAGCTGTAGGTGCCGTCGCGGCGGAAGGTGTCGGCGTGATCAGCAATGATGGTCTCGAAGTTTTGAACCTTGCCAACCCGGACGGCCTGGACAAGGAGGAAGTACGGGTGCAGAGAGAGCTCCAAAGTGGGCTGGCGGAAGGTAGATCTCTCGGGGATATCGCCCATCAACAATTCAACCACCAACAGAAGCTTGGTCGCCGTCTGTGAGAAGCCCACCGCGCAGGCGCTTGAGGGTGCCTTTCTTGTCGCAGCCGTGAGGTGCTCGTGTGCCTCGGTGTATCTCAGCTGAATGGCGCGGATGCGTCCAAGGTAGTACAGGAAGCGTGCGACCTGGTTGTTGGCTGCGTTCTCGGGGAACTGGGTATGGGATACGAGCAAGTCGGCCTGCGCAATGTGAGACGTCAACAGATAGCTGCGAAGCAAAAGCACAATGACCGAGGCTTGCGTGTCGATATCCTTGCGGAGAACGGCGGTTCGCAGAGCAGCCAGGAGAGTCGGTCGAATAGCGACGACCGGAGACTGGGGAGAAGGAGGCTGAGGAGCGAGGCTTTCGCAGAACATTGAGTAGTAGAAGTAGACCTTGGCGGAAAGGGAGTCTAATGTGCGGCGGTTAAGCGTGTGGATACGGTCAGTGAGCTGCTTAGAGAACTCGGCTCCGTGTTGGAACTGTTTGGTGTCGTAGAGGTGGACCTGGATCAGGATGCCGAGGAAGATGTCAATCTCCGGGATGATCTCCTTCACCTCCTTCTTCTGGCCGTTCTTCGTCTTCGCAGGCTCGCTGTCTACCTCCATCTCCGGACCGCTAGAGCGGCCGAGGAGTACGTTCTCGCGACCGATGGCGATCAGAAGCTGCTTGGCAACATTTCCGGAGGCAACGGTTGCAGGGAAGCTCTCGGCAATGGCCTGGGCGATGATATCGGGTGTCAGGCGCTTGCGGATGGTGGAAATCGACCGCAGGGCTCGGAGGGAGAATCTGGCATCGAAGAGCGCGACTGCGCGGTCCAGCAGAGCGAAATTGCTCTTGATGTCTGTAGAATTGACATCAGTCAGCTTTCTGGGTTGTCTGCGGACACATCAAGAGCTTTCAATACTGATCAAGCATGACATACCTGCTACAGCCTGCACCACGGGGTCAACCTTGACCTCTGCGTCATCTGCTCTAGCCTCATCACCCATCGCAACGTCCCCATCAGCATCCGCCGGGGGAGCAGCCGCCTTCTTGGACGGAGGCACAACAACAGTCATCTCTTCGTCGCCGTCCTTTGCTCCCTTTTTGCCCTTGCTCTTTGAGTCGGTATCCTTGTTGTTCTTACGAACCCCGTTCTCGAGGGGATCCTTCCCGCTGCGTGAAGGTGTTTTGCCCGGCATTTTTTCTTAACCGGATGTGCGTAGATATGCTGTGGGCAGTGTATTGAGTGCTGCTGGGGATGGCAGCAGTCGGATATGATCGTGGAGTCGCGCCCGGGGAGGAGAGTGCAGGCGGGTTGTTTTGCTTAGATATGGCGTCCCGTCAGGTGCTTCGTCTGAGAGCAAGGTAATTGAGGGAGAGAAAGTCAGGTGACACAGGTTGAGAAAGCGTCAGGACAAGCGGGAGTCGATATTGGAGCTCTGTGAGAGTCGGCTGTCGTTGATGGGAATGGGTGGTTGCTGTTTGGCTGTTTGCCTCGTGATGCAGGAAGGTCCGATGGATGGAAGCTCAAAGATTGAACACCTGAGGCTTAGGTTGCTGCTTCCAGGCTCTGGGGGGGACGACACAGACCGGGCAAGCACCTCACCCACCACACTAGCCGGTGCTAAGTAGCGGGTACAAGAGTGTGGACCCAACGCGACACAGAATCAGCCATCTATGCGGGGGGTCAGCTATCGGAGTTTGTACCCTCTACCTGGCATTACTTAGCGAGTGAGATTGCCGGGCCTGCTGGAAGCGTGGAGCAACCCCCCCCAACACCGAACGAGGCAAAGGCCACCAGGTCCGAAGCGGGAGTGACGTTGTCGATGCTGCCTGCCTCAGCTGCGTCGTCGTGGTGCCTTTTTTTTTGTGCCACACTTCTTTATGCACGCCTCAGCTACCTGAATTATGTAATTATTCAGGTTCCGTCGTCGAAGCTCCCAATCCCGCCATCGAAGCTGTAGGCATAGTACTCAATCAACATGACATATCGCTGAACTGGCAATGCGCGCATCCTCCTGATTTTCTCGCAGTCGAAATCCATCCTCCCTCTGACTCAAAAGCACGCTCTGGGTTCATCAGAATATCAACGCCACCTTCATATTTGAGTCTTTTGCTCAGCTGAATGCAGACTGTTGCTTCTGAATCCCTTGCTGTTATCTTATCGGACCGGAGGCGCCTTTCCACCACCTGGCCCCAGCTGCGCTACCTTCATCGTGAGGACCTTGCTGGCCTACCTCCTAGTGGCATAACTAATGACACTGCAACACTGAGACGGATAAGTAGAACACTGTGAAAGGACTCGAGTATCATTCTGGGTATACCCTAACTATGAAAGCGACGATGGATGACCACCGCAGCACGAGATGTTGCAAGTCAACTAGCAATTACTGCCCGTTCCTAACGCCTTTGTCATGTCTCCCAAACCATAC